CTAAAGCGTGAATGACGCTCTGTATACGATTTTAACGCCCTATAAATTCGGACACTTTTTAGCGCGGACCCGACGTCCATATAATTGTAAGTCAATGGTGTCGATACTTCCTTCACTTTACGACTAAATTGACTTAGAAGAATACATAAAACATTCGATGTTAATTGAAATACCCTTCAGGGTCTCACAATTCATTATACGCTTCTATATAATAAGATTCCGATTGACATTCAAAATTTGCCATTTACGAGATTCAAAACTAAAGTGAAACAAAAACATCTTAAGTACTAAAGCCGTTTAGCTCTTTCAGGTATTCTCGATGTAAAATGTTTAAATTAAATATTGTAATGATAAATGCATTGAAATGTATATTTACAAAGAGCAAGCCCTAGAGTTTCTTCTTCATTCTTCTCAGGGGAATCTGCCTTGCGAATGAGCAGTAGAGTGATTCTAATGTAATTGACTCAGAGCTGGTTAAAACTTATAGGTATTGCAATATTTGACATTGACATGCACTCACATTTTCCTTTGTGTCAGCAATTTTAATTTAATTTCTTTGCCGAAATTGGCATTCGCCATAAAAACATTTACAGCGACCTTGAAATAGAAGAGCATGTCAAGGATATAGAGAGTGATGAGTATTTGTATGGCGTTGTCCTGAAAAGCGGCATTGTACGTGTCCAGATAGATGCAACACAGTGATATGCCGACCACATAAATTTTCATGAACGTGGAGCGCGTATCGAGGAACTTGATTGCGCCCTTGCGGGTCGCAATTAGAATTGCGGAGCTGAACGTATGGTCTTTCCACACGGACATGTCTTTTGTAGAATCCTTTTGACGGCCTATGATGTAGTTCTGGAAATTTCATAAGAAACATCATTTCGTACACTAAGGGTCGTATACCAGAACTCTACTCAATACTCAAGTCAGGACTTGAGTATTGCAGTGAGCACTGAAAATCATACTCAAGTCCTTGCCATTAGAGTCGTATTTCCCGTGCTTGAAATCATACTCAAGTCTGCTCAAGTCCTGACTTGAGCCTTTAAGAGTTCTGGAATACTTATTTTATTTTATTATATTTGGGGAGCGTACAGCTACTTTTACAATATAGATTTAAGCTAATCGTGGCGTTTTGTTGCATTTGTTGTATCTGTGTCTGTTTGGAAACAGGATACCGCGAAAGCTACAGAATTTGGTTCGTGGATTTTTTGTTGCATTGTTGGGTCTGCCTCGACACTGCCGTGCGTCGAGGATGTTCGCATCGGCACGCGTTGACTGTTTTTACGCAAAAATGCGTAAAAGATGTGCCTCACTAGTGCATAGGGTGAGGGGCAGCACCAACAGTATCTTAAAATTGATTTCCAACAGGCTTGACTGCCCTTACATCAATCGCTGCTCTGCGTTTTCCAATGGCATCGCAGAGCGGCGAGTGAATGTTTTGGAATACAAAACTAACATAGTTATAAGTGTGAGTATCTAACCAATTATGGATTCAAATTATCTGAAATAAATTATTATTATTATTTATTATGAACGTAAACGATTACATTTTTGTTTTCTCAATCGAAGTGAAAAGTAAAGTTTTCATCTCAAGACTAAAACCCAATAAAACCCTCGGAGTACTAGACACCTTCGCTACAGCTCGGGTGGCTAACCGCCTCGGGTGTACATTGGCTCATTTTAGTTCTTTTATAAAAATATACTATTATCACGTGAAAGTGTTAAAAATAATACGACCTTCATGAAATAAGTTCTATGAAATAAGTATCTAAGCGTAAAAAAGTTATCCATAAATTTCGTTAGTAGTAAACCTTTCTCCTGAAAAGATGTCATTTTGTAGACGAAACTTTTTAACAAGTCTGGATTCTGCGAAACTAGATCAAACCCCTGTAAGTGGTTTTTTAGATATTATTCACATTCCGTTTTATTAATTATTAGATTCAGGCGTTACTATCAGAAAGCCCATGTAAATTAACATGGAAGTATATTAATTTTCACCACACTAGCTCGGAGAGGCTTTCTCATTAGAAATCTGCGTGCAAAAGCTAAGCTAGCGCGGAAAAGGTTTTTGAAGTTCGAACTTGACGATGGCCTTTGTCTTTTACAATGGAAAAGACAGTACCAAAAAAGAAAAAAAAACATAATGACACGTTCAACTACGCGATTTGTTACGCAAGTTATTGTTTACATTAAATTGACAACGATAACTGTTCAACTGTTTTTCTTTCATCTACCATTTTCCTCGCTATAGTGAGGTGAAAAGTTGTGTGTTTCACTCGGCAGCAAGGTTGTTTTGCGTCTCGTGTCTGGAGACCCTCGCTACGCTCAGGAATAACTTTGCAGCTTGCGTAACAAATAACTCCGCGAAACCGCTGAAGGTTAAATAGTGTTAAGATCCTGCGCTTGCATTGAATATGTTTTCATGCACGTAGTTTTCCCACCCTCCCTCCACATAAATATAAATAACACAAGCGCGATTACAGTCGCAGCCGTGGTAGTCTACTATTTGACCTACCGCCTCTTATCACTCGCGGGTTCGAATCCGGGCTTGTACATCTAGTTTTTAAGAATTTATGTATCAAATTTAATTTGAAATTCACTATGAGTTTTGGTCTCTCGCAAAAACCTTTCTCATTGTAGGAGGACTGTGTCCAGGAGTAAGATAATATTTAATAACTATTTATTCCTTAAAATAAGATATTAATCCGTTTTTCTTATACAGTGCAAATATAATTCTAGTGACACAGACTAGCGGCTTTTAAATATTCTATCCAGCGACATTTGCCATATAATGTTGGCAACACTGAACTTGATTATATTAAAAAGAAAAAGAAAAAAAAAAAGGATTCACTCTGGACCTTTTGGAGGGTAAAGTGTCGTTTTTATTTTGAGTTTCAATTATTTTGTGAAATCTAGTTTAAAGTGGAATAGGATAGTGCTATTGTGCCTTAATCGAAGATTAAAACGCGAAATTATACGAATCTCGAACTAAAATACCCGTATCGGCCCGTTCTAAGGAATCCCGAGTCAATCCAAGCACGCCGCCTCAAATTACCTATCCTCTTTGTGGCGGCCATATTTACAGAAAAACTTATTTTTATGTTTTCGGCTGAAGGACTTTGTTTCCATGGCCAGATATAAATTAATAAAAAAAAATATATATTATAAAAGAAACAAAGCAAAAAATAACAAAAAGGTGACTCACCTGTCCGTGCGTGAGGTACGACTCCAAGTTCTTTTTTGTGATAGGAAACTCGAAAATTATCCGGTAGAATATTTCAGTTCTGATTAGGAGTAAATGGACTTTGTTGTTCGTTATGAATGTGTTCTGACTCCGAAATGTCGAATGGTTCGCCAGGTTGCCGAATATACTGACAATGTACAATACGGGTGACTAAGTAATATTGTCTATACATACAGGCATATTTAGCTGAATACAGGTACCTACATGATTGAGTGAAGAAAAATGTTAATACATTTCTCACAAGTGGCGACCAAAAGAGCCATTAAAGTCAAATACAAAAATCTGTAACCAACGTTTAGAGAAATTTGTAAGATCTGCTGACTCGACCTGTAGTTCAGTTGGTAAAGCGATTGCCCTTGATTGGCTTACAGAACAGGAAGTCCTGTTAGATCGACTTTTTGTTGCATTCAGTTACGGAACTTTGTTTGAAGAAAAATATTCATAGATTTCTCACAGGTGGCGCAACGGCAAAAAATTCGTTATTAAAAACCAGGAAGAAAGATCTGCTACAAATACATAAAAAAATTCGTGAGGTCCGTTGGTTCGTTCTGTGGTTTAGTTGGCGTAGTGTCTGTCACGGTTTGCTAGGAGATGTGTGTTCGAATCCGGCCGGATCGAAGGAATTTTTTCTGAGTATTCGATCTTCTTCTTCGATCTTTGTTTAATAATTTTATCAAATTAGTGTAGTAACTTTAAAAAAAATAATTTAATATTATGGTGATAAAACATTCTAACATTCAATAAAACTTAATTATAATATTTAATACTTAATGTTTGTTTCGAAAGTTTTGTCGCTTATTTTTTTATTTTAATCTGAAAAGTTTGCCGACTGTAATTTTTTTCGCTCATTTTTTTTAATTTCCTACTAATACAAGTTTGTCGAGTAGTTCGAAGTTGATTTTATTGCGTTCTTGTAAACGTTGGATGGAGTCAAGTGGATCAAGCTAATCTGTTTTCATGTAACATAAATTAGTCTTCTTTTGCACTTTTTGTACACAAATGAAGTAGAGTTCTCTATTGTTAATAAAATTAAGATGAAAATGGTATAGTTATTACCTCCCACGTGGCAACTTTGCTATAGGGGTAGTATCATCGTTTGGGTTCTTGACCTCGACGGTGCCGTAATCGACAAAGTACATAACTTCTATTACGTCATCATGTTCAATGAGGCGCGTCTCAGCCAAGAAGTAGACACTATGCATGGCTCGACCCATTAATCGCAGCAACGCCAGGCTGCACTGATTCAGGACTGGGCACTGTGAACATATAATTTTTATTTACTTTTTTACAATCAGGTTACATGGACCCACAAATACTTAAGAGGAGGTAGTTTAAAGGGTTACGTTAACTTTGAGCGAAATTAAATTCAGTAAGATAATCAATATTAGTTACGATCTTGACAGTAATTGACTAAGTATTTAATGGAATTTTGTAACATGAAAGCGTTACAAACAAGATCACAGTTGGAAAATTAACTAAACCGTACCCAAAAACCGCTTTGACCGAGGGCGTGCCTAAAGCGTTACTAGGTTCTAGGCAAAAACGGACACTTAAAGTCCTGCGGAAAATAATAACTGTAGAAGGTGATAACATTAAATGCAATGCGAAATGTAATAAATTTTAATTTGAGTACCTAGTTATCAACAAGAATACAAAAACATCAACAAAACACATAAAACAACATATCCCGTTAATTGATATCATAAAAGAAAAAAACTCTATGGTCGAAATTTTGGCCTAGTGGAAAAAATTCTCAGTCCGTACGCACCTTGTTAAATGTCGGTCCATAGATGTTCATAATAGCGTCAGTGCGCAACGTGATCTGATCGCAGAGCTTGAACATGCTACTGTAGTCAATGCCGCCCATTTTATCCCAGCTGTACGTATAATAATCGATCACCTCCCTGAAGTAGGGAATATTAAACTTAGCTACGAATTCTTTGTTGCAATTATATTGACTTTGATACTTCGTCGGGCGCAGGACATTTGCGCCAGAGCAATTGTGTTTGCGCCAGAGCAAATGTTTTTTTGCCGTAGCCATCTGTGAGAAATCTATGAAAGTATTCTACGTGTGGCGCACTATAAGGTTTCGGAATTAATATGAAATAAATACTATAAATGGTCAGAAATGAATTTATTGTTTCTCAAAATATTCTTCGTTAGCGTTAATGCACTTTTTTATACGAATGAACCAATTTTGAAAACATTTATGCCATTCCTCCGTGACAATCTCAGAAACATATTTATTTCATATTCTTCGACAGCCTCTTCAGGTGATGAAAATCGTTGACCGCGTAACTGGTTCTTAATTTTTGAAAATAAATAAAAGGCACAACGAGGCAGGTCGGGACTGTATGCGGGATGGCTCATAAGGTCAACGTTATTCACCTTTAAAAATTCATTTGTCTTCCTTGGCGCTGTGTAAACTGACATTATCGTGGTGCAAGATGATACGGCATTTACGGTTATTTTTACGGAGTTTTGTCAATAACTTCCGGCAAACAAATGGTCGTGTATCAATCATTCATCACGAGGCACTATTCACGGTACAACGATTCTCCAAAGCAACAGTAGCCAGGTGTCCAGTTTTATTAAAGAAAGAAGCAATCATCCGCTTAGAGGCACTTTGCACGCGTGCCACTTTGGTTGGTTTCGGCTCATCTCGAAAGACCCATACGCTCGATTGCTGCTTAGTTTTGGGATCGAAACAATAAATCCATGTTTCGTCACCTGTTACTATATCCCACACCAAATTTGACGCCCGTTCTGTTCGTTCTTTCTTCAATCCGTTTTTTGCGCCTCAGTCAAATGGTGTGGGGTCCACGTTTTTGTGTCAAATTGTACGTTTGAATTCTGCAAACCAGCTATAAATAGTCGTCTTGCATGGTGCTTCACCGCCAAAGGCAGGTAGAATCCGTGCGAAGCTCCGCTGAGCTGTTAAATTACACTTAAAAGTCGTAGAAAATCATACTACGAAAATTTTCATAAGTAAAATATATTGTGATGTAGACAACCAATTTCTAAAATGACGCCACAATGTAAAAACAAGTGACAGTCAGATGAAACAAACTGTATTCTACAGCCAAAGAGGTCCATTTTCAAACGTTGTAATTACTTTTTAAATATTGTTTATGTAAGTGGCCAGTTCCGGTACCGTACACCCAGTTTTTCAATTATTTTTTTATCATATTAACTTATTTATTTATTTAAGCCATAAGTAAAACTATCATTACAGATCATTACCCAATGCGATAGTCTAAACAATATGATTAATATTTACAAGTAGATAGGTAATTATTATTTATCTAACTTGTAACTACAGGCAAATAAAAGAACCTTTGTGAATTCACTCCGAGGACACGTAAATATGTCTACATTATTATCAATCAAATTCATGACCCGTGTTGCGCGCAAGCGGCGCATCTCTTTACATGTTGGTGCCCGCATATTGCACCACCGGCTTTTGTTATAATTATTGATACAAAGATCGAACAGCTAAAAAAAATTCCTTCGATCCGGCCGGATTCGAACCGAAAACGTGCCAGACGCCTACTAAGTCACGAAATGAACTAGCGAACCTCACGAATATTTTTACGTGCTCGTTGTCTGATCTTTGTTTTTGGTTTTTAACGACTTTTTTACCGCAGCGCCATCTGTGAGAAATCTATGAAAATTTTATTGCTCTGGTACGTCTCAAGCGCAAATTTCCTGTGCCCTACTTCGGCGTTACTTATGTAGTTCCGCTGAGACTTTCTCTTGTTTCATGAAGTCTGTAATATCTCGGATGTGCTCCTGAAATCCAGCTAAGGCTTGGTTCACGTTCGCCCGGATGCTTATCACGCGCACCGAGTAGTAAGTTGTAAGCATCATTGCTGAAAATTACAGGTATCTAAAGAATATCTAATTATAGCTACTTTAAAAAAATCTTTGGATGCAGGTTTGCTCACTTTTAAAAATAAAGTCTTTATGAATCCAAATACTATGTCTACAATATTTAAAGTACTTTCCCTCCGTGATATTGCACTGCTATTACAATAGTGTCGTAACTCAAAATTGTGGAATACAGAAAACACAATTTGAAAATTCAAAAACAAATATTGAAAGGGTCTTATTGTGAATGATGTGATTAATTTTATTTGATTCTTGCAGAAAAAAACTATACAATTTGTAAACAATAAATTCCTGGATTAATGAGAATATTAGGTATTAATTTGAAGTCATTTCTATATGATCTAACTGAATTAAGCAATAAATTCCCTAATGAACTTCATATTAAAAGTAAAATTGACGAATGTACTAAACGATATCATAATTTACTTAGATCGGAGAGGACAAAATATTTTGAAAAAAATATTGCAAATAGTAATAACAATAGGAAATGAAACTATTTTTCCGGATTTAAATCGCGTATATTTGTTTTTTCAAACAAACCGACGTTTCGGGCCCTTTACAGGTCCTATGGTCACGGTTGACTGAGGTGGTTACAGTCTTCAACCAGTTATGTCTAATATTAATGCAAACCACCCTATTTTTTCACTATAGTTACAATAGTTATTAATTAAATAGGTACCTTATTCTTAATTTTACAAGGAAAACATTCCAAATTACGCTACTTTAAGTTTTACAAATTATTTTATTGAATGAATTTTTATTAAGTTTAATTTGTTATTAACTATTAATAGAAATTAGAATAAACCAAAACATATTAATTAGTACTGCAGTCGCGATTAAAATCCGGAAAAATAGTTTCATTTCCTATGTATAACAATCGCGAAAACCTAAGAACTCGATAAATTTTTTTTAGTGACATTTGTTTAGTTAATATTCTCTTTGACATTTAAGGTACTAAATTGACATGTAATGGAAATTATGAATATATGAGTATGATTATGATTACATAATACTTAATTATCCATATATAAACGAGAATGTACATACATATCGCACTGTTAACTCAAAAAGTGTATTTTCTCAGAAACGACGAAAAACTAATTACTCGCTTCCCGTGAAAGATCTGTGTAAATAATTTATGTGTAAGTTATTTCTTGCTTGCCAAATATATATATTTAAAAATACAAGAGAAAAAATAGTTTCATATTTTTTAATAAGGACAATTTTAAAAACACTCGTGTAATAGCAGTGCGATATGAATATTGATTTCATTCAGTTTCTTTTTTTTAATTTTCAAGTTGTCATTTCTCAATTCCACAATTTTTTTGGTTTTAGAGGTAAGGTTGTTGGTGAAACTGCAAGCACATGGGACTTGTCAACTTTGTCTCAGGGTGGCAGTGGCAGTGCCCCTCAGGTCGTTGCGATTTAAAGCTCTGAGTGGCACTGCAACTATTATGGGTAGGCGTGTCGCTTACCCTTTGCATATTCCAGTCATTTGATATCATAGAAAAATATATATGGTGGTGTAATCATTACCGATGATATTTCCCCAATAGAGAATCGAAAGAAGTGAAATATTGGTTGGTTGAATTGTGTTAAATCCAGTACAAGTTGTCTCGTATACCGCCCAGAAGTAACAAGTTAAATGCAGGTTTAATGGCGACTCCAAGACATCAAAATTTACTGGAAATTTAATAGAAAAAAAAATCGGTTGCCCATATGGGAAGGAATATATTTACCAATGATACTTTTATGATATTTAATATTGATAGAAATAAAACTAATTATGATAGTGCTCTCTCTAAAGTTCAAAATGTGCTACTTAATGTAAAAATGTAGCAAGTGACTTCAAACTTAATAACGAACAATCGAATTTAGAGGACACCACTGTCTTTTCGGGAATAAAGTTAGACTAAAAACTTCAATGGAACCCACATATTTCTGCTGCTTATGCTGAGCGAAAAATCAGGCAACTTAACTGGTGTCGAGATAGTCAGAAATTTTTGCTTCAGTTACTTTCACAGTATAATGTCATGCGACATTTTATTTTGGGGCGTAGCTTCTAATATCGAAACAACGGTTTATTTACAATTGTATACTTTTTGTGCGTTTGAATAATGAATTGTATAATAAACGGAGTGACGTACATAACTTTAATACTAGACATAAATGGAAGCTCGTTTTACCGAAGTTAAGACTTCAAAGGGTTCTCGGCTCTTTTGTGAGGCAAGCTATTCTGTATACTATAATAAGATTCCAAAATATCCTTTGATAAGTTCAAAAATAATGCAAAGGCAACTGTACTAAGAGCGGATATTACTTTGTTAGGGATTATATAAACGATAAGATGGTTTTAAAAATTGTCTAATTGTGACGAATTTAAGTGCAATTTATGCTTAGCTACGAAATAAAGATAATTTTGATTTTGATTATTCTAATAATTATATAGGACGGAATTTTATAACCCTTTTTTACAAAATATTCCTTTTTTTCCTTTCCTCGTAATCAACCGAGTCACGGACGGAGTCAGGAATTCTTGTGAGTGAAGCAAAAGTTTTCCCACAGATGGCGCTACGGTAAAAAAGTCGTTAGAAGCTAAAAATAAAGATCAGTAACAAGCGCATACAAAAATTCGTTCCGTGGCTATATGTGTTCGGTCCCAGCAGGGTTTGACCCAGAGCATTTTTACAGAAAATATATGAATAGTATGGTAGTAAAACATTCAATAAATAAATTTTTAAGTTTTTATCGAATGTCAATGATGTTTAACCAGCATGGTATTCAATTAGTTTTTTGGTGAAATTACTCCACCAGATTTTTATAATTATTACACAAAGAGCGAACACTTAGAAAAACGTCCTTCGATCCGGTTGGATTCGAACCAGCGTCTTCTAGCAAACCGTGAAAGACGCTGTGCCAATTAAGCCACGGAACGAATTTTTGTATGCGCTTGTTACTGATCTTTATTTTTAGCTTCTAACGACTTTTGGCCGTAGCGCCATCTGTGGGAAAACTTTTGCTTCACTCAGCGTCTATAAATATCTTTTGTTTATTCCATTATGAATAAACATTCGTATAATATACTTATTTAGAAACAAAGAAAGAGCTATCAAAATAAAACAAGTACCCGTGTTTGACTTGCCCACTATTTTTCGTTTTTTGTTTAAAAACGTGTCCGGATCGAAGACTATGCGCACTAACAAATGAACACGAGGAGCCTCACACTGCATGGTTTTGTACCAGATTCCTTTTTCTAAAAAACTATTTCTAACGATAATGGAACTTGACCTTATAGTAAGAGATAGCGCTACTAGCTATCATGTATACTGCTACAGAGATTCACCCACCGAACCTTCCAAATGGAAAACAATCATTCTCCCACTCGGCCACTCTTTTATATAATATATTTTTAGCAGCAGTAAAGCTCATTGTCAAAGAGTTCGTCCAAGGAAGTACTGCCACCTTACCTATTTCTGCCGCCAAGCAGTAATGTTAGCATTACTGCGTTCCGGTTTAGAAGGGTAAGAGTGCTGATGATATTACAGCACATGGGACTTGGCAACTTATGTCTCAGCGTGATGGGCGCAGTGGCAGTGTTCCTCAGATCATTGCGATTTAAAGCTCTGAGTGGCACTGCAACTGTTATGGACAGGCGTGTAGCTTAAAATCATAAAAAAATATGTAAATACATCTAGAAAAAAACAACATAATTCGCAATTACACGATTCATTGGCCTTCTCAAGCCACTGGCTGCCGTCGTCTGTGAATTTTAAAAATAGCCATCCGGCTCCTTCTTCAGGCTTATAAATAATTATCGATTCTTCCAACATACTCATTGTCATTACATTCAACAGTCCCATCAACAGAGGCATCCCCTTCACGCTAAAATTGAAATATTATAACTAAAATAAAAATAAAGAAAGGGCAACGTCATTGATTGGGTTTACATTTCTTGCCAGCGCCTACCACTACTAATTTGCTATTAATATATTACAAAATTTTGCTAAAGCTAAAGCATCAGGCGCTAACTTGCCTATGTTTTAGTAATTGGCATTCACTTTCGATCTTTAACCGTTCGGTTCTTTTATAAAATTGTTCAAAACTGGTGTCAAAATCAGATTAACTTTTAGTTTACTTTGAACTCCAAAAATATCCTCTAGACATACATAGGTATATTTTAACCATGAAAATCCTATCTAAAGTACCTAGAAGCATTTGAGCTGTTCAAGATTAACGACAACGCGCGAATAATTGACAATCTCTGGCAAAAAGTTAATTCATATGTTAACCTTATATTACATTACAAAAGTAAAATAAGCAAGTAACTTTTAAAACACTTTGCTTATACGCTTCCGCTGTTTCCGTTGGTGCGGCACTCGTGAAACGCAGACCGAAGTCTCGTCTAAACAAATCACATGAGCCCAAACACAAGGCAGTTGCTATACACTGTTGAGGAGTCTCTTTAAACCGTCTGTCATTTGTATTTTATGTTCATTAGAATTACATTAATAATAATAATAATAACGCACACACTCAACATAGCCCCGCACTAGGGACCCCCGTGTCGCGGGTGCCATGGACACACATAGACAACCACAAAATTACACCCAAACTCACGACAGAAATAAATGTAGGTACCTCTGCGTGGCAGTCCGGCAAGGTAACCGTTTGGCCACTGAGGCAGTTAATTACGTCTATGTGCCTTTGACATCTGTTAATGGAAAGTGTTTCTTTTCTTCAAATTTGAATGGTACCACTATTATGGTATCCACTTTCCAACAAAAAAAGAATCATTGAAATCGTTCACAAATCTGAGTAATTGCGTAACATCCGCAAAAAAATAGAGTCGAATACAGAACCTACTCGTTTTTTGAAGACGGTTAAGAACACTGCATTATATTGAGGTTTTTACAAGTGTTCCGCTGAATGTCTGCCGGTGTATGTAGTACATTACAAAAGGACTTATTGCAAGGGACAGTGGACATAATATCTTACATGAGCAGGATGTCTTCTCTTTCGATGTACGCAGAGAGCGTGTTGAATGCGCTGGGCAGCCGGTACAGCTGCAGCAGTCGATTGCACGCTAAATACTGTGATATTTTCGAAACAATGTACATATCCTTAGTTGCTGTAATTGTTCAAGTATATTTAATACTGTAGCAAGCTAGTATTCGCAAGAGTTTAATTCAAAAATGTGGAGAGGTCAGCGAAGAGGTTTTCATAGACAGACGAATTGAGGCGCCAGGATTTTTTATTATTAAAAATAAATGCGCATTTGACTTCCATGTTGCCTGATGGAAAGTGACGATGGTGTGACGCTGTGACCTCCTTACACCGTCATCTCACGTCTTTGTATTGTCTCTCTCCTCTTGTATCTTATCATTTTTTTTTATTTTACTTGCATTTAAATTTAAAATTTGAATTGTTCCGTCTTCCTTCACTTTCTCATTTTGTTTTCGTACCACGGTCACTTCCAGCTCGACCGCCACAACAGTCAGAGCTGTTAATAAGCTAATCATGTGTAATAATTTATAAGTCTACACCCTTCATGTATCTATTTCTGTAATTCAGTTTCTCGGCCCATTTAGGGGTAAGTGCCTTAATAATAAAGTGTAGGGAGTGTTTTATACTGTTATACCTGTTTTTTTACATTTTCCTTTATATTGTTACAGCCTTTCTTTAAACTTTACTTCTTTAATAAATTTTGTGGACCGGAAGTTTCCCATTTCATTGCCGTGAACCTGTTCACGGTTAGTTAGGGCTACAACCCTTTCAATGGAGCATGCACACGTAAATAATACCTATTCACTCGCGCCTTGAAAAAGCTTAAATTATACTGTTCAGGGAACAAGTCTGCAGTCACGGAATTCAACTCCATAGCCGTTCGTAATATACATGTGGAAGTGAAGTGTTTCGTGCGAATCCTTAGAATACCCACACATAGGGGTGGAACCCCAGCCTACGTCTGATCCCCGGATGATGGAAGGCGGAAGGCGGAATTAATTCCTAATATCCTGCAGAATATCGATAAGCAAGCAACTTTACGGCGGTGTTCAAGGCTCTGCAGCTCCGCCTCTACTAATTTCGAGTCACCTACAAGCTTCTTGGCACGCTTGTCGATTGAATCCAAAGTGGCCAGTTGGTATATAGCAGACCCGTCCCATAGATAGTTGCATATTTAAAGAAATATCCATTGACTTACAATAATATGGACGTCGGGTCCGCGCTAAAAAGTGTCCGAACTTATAGGGCGTTAAAATCGTATACAGAGCGTCATTCACGCTTTAGTCTTCGTTTGTTTCTTCTGACAGCGAAGCAGGCAAAATTAGACAGTACTGCGATGGCATTACAATTTAAATTCAACGTTTTAGCTTTTTATATTCCTTTACATGTCACTACGTTTAAATAGGTTGACTTGGGACATTTTTTTCGTGGTTTTTGTATTAGACCCGTCGTCCATTTATTTGTAAATCAATGGAAATATCATAAATTTATCAAAAAGAATTTAATTTACAAGACAATGGCTAATGCAAGACAATACACGGCCTTAAGAGCGGAATATAGACAGAAAGTAGTATAGCGCTACTATAGCATAAAGCTTTTTGCCATACAAAATATAAGAATTGATTTATACTAAAAAAAATCGCAAACTGCTTTAAAATACTCCCTACTGCCATCTAGCGTTGCGCGATGGAAATAAATGTTTGTGTACTCATACGTGGTAGAAAATTGAAGTCGTTAGAATGTAGACAGGTATACTACATAAAATACATGGTAAATATAACACTCACGGTGTTTATACATTTTAGATCGCCCCATATCGAGTATCTCTAATGGTAGTAAACCTAAAAGGTCGACGATAAAGGCACCCTTGATATAATGAGCTGCGGTACTGGCGGGGTGGTACACGAGGATGCCCTTTTCGTTATAAAACGCCACCAGCATGCGCTGCAATCTGTAACAGGTCGCTTCACTCAGGCAGAGAAACAGCAACTATGTTAGCAAACATTACCGTATTACGGTGCAATGAATTTGAAATTCTTAGCGGCAGTAGAGCTCCTTGTCAAAGAGTTCCTCCAAGGAACTACTGCCACCTTACCTATTTTATAACATCAAGTGGCGGAACGAACACGTCGTGCGCCTAAATGGCGCCTATCCATAACAGTTACAGTGCCACTCAGAGTTTTAAATTGCAAAATCTGAGGGGCAATACCACTGCGCCCGTCACCCTGAGACATAAGTCCCATGTGCCCGTAATTTCACCAGCTTCTTTACCCTTCAAAACCGGAACACAGTAATGCTGACATTACTGCTTGGTGGCAGAAATAGCTAAGGTGGCAGTACTGTACCCTGGACGAACTCTTTCACAAGGCGCTCTACTGCTCCTAAACCTCGCCCGGTTATAATGCTTCAATGTCGTCAACAAACGCCATTCAGCCTTCAAGTTAAGGCGCAAAATCATTTTTTAATTTCCAATCAATCACGTCTAGGGCCTTGGTCGTCTTAAATGATCGAATATACCGAATATGCTTTATCAATACAGGAAAGTTTGTGTTGCGTTTCTAAAGCGTTACACCTCAGGCGGTACGCATTTAACACTGCACGTAGGAGGCTTAAACATTTCTAAGGTATGTACTTACAAGTCAAAATAGGCACAGTAGTCAAGAAAAATAGCCATGCTATGGACAAAGGGGAACTGAAGAGACATGTACATGTAGCACGGGAATACAAACGCGCTCATCATGGCACAAATGGCGCGGAACCACTCGTAGCGTTGCATGTAGCGTCCGTCCGGACGGATGGTCCACCGCGGGAACACGTACCTGCAGTACACGTACAGCACGTTTAAATCAATATCGTCACTAGCTCAGGCCACACAGAGATGGTACAGCAGTCTGGGGGCGAACCTGCGTGAGCGAATGCATACCAAGAGTTCCAAGCGTAGTTCGCAGCGGAATAGCGGCGCAAAGCAGGCCAGTGTGCTTCATTTTCTATACAGATTTTAAAGAAAGCACCACACCGTTGTCGGATAAAGGTCAAGAAAATTTTTTGCTTAAAGAAATTTCGGTCGAAATTCAAATTAAAACTCAATAAAAATCTATTCAAGAGTTGTTAAAAAATGCAACGTCAAAGCGCGCTAATGCCCAGCCAGAGAACAAAAAAGTAACGAGAACGGACACTCTCCACCCCTCCCTAGCTTTAGACACCGCAACACGCCCCACACATTGACGGTCACATTGGCTGAACGAGAACAAGGCTGTCGGCGAGTCGTTTTCGCGCTAAGACGGCTTTGACTTTTGAATATAGTTTTCATTTATTCATTACGAAATTTGTACGTTATAATATCATTTTACGTTACTATTTATAATGGTCGTGAATTGTGCTATGTACGTCTGTTTATAATCACAAAGTTTTTATAATATTTTATCGATATAAATACGTAATGAACATGTGCAATTATTAGGATTCTATTAATAGAATTATAGATAACAGACTCGAGTTAGAATTTTCGCTATGGTGCCGCTCTGAACACGTAATATTAGTGATGGGTAACTCTGCCGCTTCACGCACACATTTGCGCGTGTGCAGATAGCGCCTTGTTGTATGTAGTAGTAGTAGGTAAATAACTTTCGACTGTTATATGGAGTGTTCGGGGTGTGGCCGAGCTCTCGGACCGCGCCCCGCTGCTACAGTTCTGTGTGGACGGTTGCATAGAACTCAAAAGGAAACTACTCCCGCGCCCGAACTCGCCCCGTTTTCGCCACGCGCCCGTCAATCACTCGATCCACTTGTTTGTCATAGCGTTCGGCCCCGGACCGCAATGTGGCAGGGTACATACGAACTCTAACATTAAAAAAATTCCCGCGCCCGGAACGCTCCCGTTCCCGCCTCTGTGTAGCCTGAGCATAAAAAAAATTTGAACTCTACTGCTCATTCGTAAGGCGGAGTCCCTTGAAAAGAATGAACTTGAGGGGTTGCTTTGTAAATAAACATTTGTACACGTTAGTTATTACGATACCTTTTTTTTTTTTTTTTTGACGGGGGTGAAATCTTTATGGATACCCCTGAGCCCAGGGAGACTCAGGGGTTATGTGGGAACTCTCACCATGCCTACGCCAACCTAGTTTTTGGTAATTTTCTGTTTTTAATGTACCAGTAGTTTTTAATGTAACAATTTCTTAATTTTATGCTCCGTGAATTTTGTGAATAAAAATAAAGGAACAAAATTCGAAACGAAAACAAAAATGCGATTAAAAAAAAAAAAAAAAAGAAATAAAAACAGAGATGACTAAAAAATTTAATTGGCGTAGTGCTCATTCGGGTATCAGAAGGTATCGATTTACAATATTTAATATAAGTTAACACACTTACGAAGAAACTGAATATAATCTGTCAAAAAATTTGAATAGAAATGCCCCAAGCCATAAAATTATATCGGTTATGACTTCTGTCAATAAAAAAAACTATAATGACTTATGTTGTGTGTATCTTCTTAAGTTATATTTATTTATAAGTTATATTTATTCTTCTATCTATTAAGATTTTTTTATCGCCATTAGTCATTAACTTACAAATAAATGGACGACGGATCTAATACAAAAACCACGAAAAAAATGTCCCAAGTCAACCTATTTAAACGTAGTGACATGTAAAGGAATATGAAAAAGCTAAAACGTTGAATTTAAATTGTAATGTCATCGCTGTACTGTCTAATTTTGCTTCGCTGTCAGTCGAACAAACGAAGACTAGAGCGTGAATGACGCTCTGTATACGATTTTAACGCCCTATAAGTTCGGACACTTTTTAGCGCGGACCCGACGTCCATATAATTGTAAGTCAATGCCATTAGTTGATTTTTTTGCATAGTGAGAGTATTGGTTCAAACGAGCAAACGTCTCCCGACCCCAGGAGGTCTACCACGAAACACGAAACAACGATCGAAGAACGTGATTCGACATAAGATTTGTAAATACCATGGGGTTTACTCACGTTCCCTGTCCGACATACGTCTGAAACAATTCCTGTCAAATAAGTAATACTCGACCAAAGTGGAAGACAATTCCAAGTATGAAGCTTTATTCGCATCGTGCCTCTTTTAATTTGGTCGAATATTACCATCTAGTATATAACTAGAAACAGAGAGGAAATATCATTTAATTTGTTTGAAAACTATTCTGCCAAATCGTTACGGTGGCAACTGCGCTTCGATTGGCCAGACGAATTCGAAACAATTGACGGGTGCCGTCAATTGTTTCACTTCAAATCGACCGGTTAACTTGAGCTTTGCTATAATGGACGAAAATTGAACAATTACATAATTTAATATTTAATTACCGATGAAATGTGATTCCGTTTGTTTTTCCCACACCACCGAATTGAACAGCACGGCATTGTTAGAGATATTATCTTTATTACAATAAATACAGAATATTTTTTGGAATATACGGAGACGTACACACAGGTCAGTGGTTGGCGCTATACTATTTCAGCTTTCTAATTTGGAATTTCAGCACAAACGAGAGTTGATATATAAAAGTGATATGAGTACCATTTGACTGATGAGTTGCCAGGGATGGCTGGCCCTTATTTCGTCTCTATTTATGGATATATACTCTATGAATATTACTTATTTGACAGTAATTGTTTCGGACAGATGTCACGACGGAGAACGAGAGTATACTCCGAAACGTCAAATGACAGCCATCGTATCGAATTTCGACATTACTGTCATCGTAAAACTGACATTTGTATAATACGTATGAGCTTCGTTGCGGACGCAGTCACGTAGTATCGTATTTCGTGGTAGACCTCCCGCTTCTAGTAGGTAATTGACTACTTGCCTGAGAAACGACAATAAGCCAAGTTTCTGAAAAGGATGGAGAAAGTCATAATCGTACTCGTGCTTTCTTGGCAGCGGGAATTTATCCCTGTTGGGTACCGAAGGTGGGTATGTGTATTTGACGAAAGATTTTCGACTATTAATTAAATTTTTATACTCCTGAAACACAGAACAGTGCAATTAGTTAAAGAAATAACATATAGGAAATGAAACTATTTTTCCGGATTTAAATCGCGTATATTTGTTTTTTCAAACAAACCGACGTTTCGGGCCCTTTACAGGTCCCATGGTCACGGTTGACTGCATGTTGACAAATAAACGCGATTAAATCCGGAAAAATAGTTTCATTTCCTATGTGTAACAATCGCGAAAACCTAAGAACTCGAAATAACATATGTTATACCCGTGGCTTAATAAAGTGACATGTAATCATACGTCAAAAGTGTCTTTATCACATGTAAGTAAAACAATCTCAGGAAAACCAACCTCAAAAGTCATTCTTCCCGTAGTTTGCCACTCTTAGAGGTGGAATCTTTTCTTCAAATTTAAATGGGACTACTAGAGAGGTACTCTCTTTCCAACAAAAAGAGTCATCAAACTCGGTTCACAAATGAGTTATCGCGTAACATACATACAAAAAAAATATATATACAGTCGAATCAAGCACCATCTCCTTTTTTTGAAGTACATGTAACTTTTATTAAACACGTTCATCGCCGGCTAGAATTTTCAAAAATGTTCAAAAATTACATTGGCTTATATGACTGTTTTTGGTCTCATTTGTATATGTATATTGACGCTGGAAAGGTAAAACGATTAAGGAGAGCGATTTCAAGTATTTTTTATGAAATGAAAAAGAAATCATATCATAACGTCCCGTCACTCGATATTATGAAATAAAAAAAATAGAAAAATTATTTGCTAAATGGAAAACTAGAAAGTTTCAGTTTTTCCATATTTTCTTTAAAAAAAAATTAGTTTAAATCGCTCGCTTCGTTTAAATCCTAATATTTTCCAAATGCACTTTCGACATTTTACCTTTCCGTAGATGTAAGCTCTTCCGCGATAGTTCATTATTTGGCCCTATTTTGGGTTATTTTTTGTGGGTGCTTTTCGTAATATATAACAACAAATGACATATTTTTAGTCGACATAACGCTTAACAGACATAATTAATTTATGGTTTACAGACATATGTGACATATTCTTACGTGATACAAAGGTCACTAGGTGTAATAGACGATTGATATAACAACTTTCATTCTAATATACCGATGGCATAATGTTTATTTTATATAAACACTTCAGATATACCATTCACTGAGTATAATGTTGAATGTGTATTTGTGAAAAAAAAAAATTAATATAATTCCAGTGGTGTTTAGGTGCAACGGTCAATGATCTGAATTTGTTTGCATTTCCTAGCTGGTTTGACTTCTTCCTGTGGGTTTAGGTTAGGCTAGTGTATGACAAAGCTATCAGACGCGAATTTGTTGGCATTTGCTAGTAGTTTCGACCTCCTCCTGTGGGTTTAGATTAGGTTAGTGATGACAAAGCTGCCAGAACCGAATTTGTTTACACTTGCTAGTTGGTTCGACCTCCTCCTGTGGGTTTAGGTTAGGTTAGTATATGCAATTGAATATTCTGCTTAAAGTTTTAATAAATATATTTTATAACACAAATAGCACTTAAATATATTTTGCGATTGTACATTTCATGGAATAAAAAATTCTTATCAACATGATGCGCCCTTCAACTATTCGTAAAACGAAATATTGTGTTACATTATTTAATACATTATATTGGTAGTACTTATACCCTTTATTCATTATGTCGCTTAACCAAATTAAATCCTTACAAATACAAAACTTAATAAAATTAAATCCAATTTGACTTTAGTAATTTTTTTATTCGAAATATATTTATTCTTCTAACCCTAGAAAAGTAGTTACGCCATCAAAAATCCTAAAAACCAAGTAGCAACAGAAGTTGGTCAGGGCCGCGCCGGTTATATGGCTAAATATGTAGCGTTTGCCACTTGTGGCGTGAACGAACATTGCAAAGTTAGAAGATTAAAAAACTTAACATTTAAAGCTAGCGTGTAATTAATAAGGCCACGTCTGTAGCCTGAAACCATTACTTTGAGTAATGGTCTCCTTGGCATAAGGTTGAGCGCAACCCTTTGGCGCTTACATTGAAAGCAAGGCCCAAATTGCAGTAAAAAAACTGGGTATCCTTAATAAGGTTAAGCGATATTTCACCCCTGGACAGCTCTTAACTTTATGCAAAACACAAGTCCGATCTTGCATGGAGTACTGCAGTCACCTGTGGGATGGCTTAACGAAGTATCAACTTGAAGCTCTTGATTCGATTGAGGGCAGAGCCAGACGGCTTATTGGCGACAATAATTTCGAATCGAAAGTTCATAGTTTAGCCCACCGGCGCTAAGTTGCCCGTCTGTCGGTTTTTTACAAAATATATATCGGTGAGTGTGCTCATGAGCTCCATCAGCTCATCCCGCCCGCCTCTTTCACCATCGGACATCCAGACGTACGGCGGGATATCATCCTTACTTGGTCTATATTCCCTTCAGGCGTACTAAGCGCTTTTCATCATCTTTTATTATGCGCACAGCCCAGGAATGGAATTCCCTGCCTGTATTTCCGAATTCATACAACTCGGGTAACTTTAAGGTACGACTGAATAGGCCTCTTAGGAGCAAGCTCGTTCCATCGTAGATCCTATCTTTGCTCCAGAGCTAGGTAGTGGTCAAGAGCAAGTCCATTTAATTTCAAAAAAAGATTAGGTCGTTGGTTTACTCGTAACCTTTTAGAAATTAAAACCTTGGTCACTGGTTAAACGACAGCCAAGTACCTACACACTTGGTAAGTGAATGTATGAGATGTAATGTTACTGTGAAGTGACGACAGCATTCGCGCCGATTATTTTGACCCACCACGGCGATGAACGTGTTAAGCATAAAAAATAGGAAATGAAACTATTTTTCCGGATTTAAATCGCGTATATTTGTTTTTTCAAACAAACCGACGCTCCGGGCCCTTTACTGATCCCATGGTCACGGTTGCCAATGCCGCAGGCCCCGTGTGAAACCACCAACAGTCGAGCGAAGACCTGCCATCTTACCTTACGTGAGAGGTGTTACAGACAAGATCGAAAGAGTCCTCAGGCGTGCATCTATCAAGACCTATTTCAAGGCCCTGAGGAAGATTTCTCAGTTCCTGAGACCCGTGAAATGTAACATCCCCTTACAAGATGCAGGAGTTTACAAGCTTGACTGTGAGTGCGGTCTCTCTTATATTGGACAAACAAAGCGAAGTATTTGTACCCACGTCAAAGAACATATAGCTGATGTCAAACACCGTCGCGTAAACAAGTCTGCAGTCTGCGAGCATGTCATGGATAAACCTACACATTCAATGAAGTATGACAAACCCCAGATCCTTGCAAAAGAAGTCCGTTATCTACCCAGGATGCTCCGAGAGGCCATTGAAATTAAAAAACCACCAGTTTGGGATCCAGTATTTCTTGTAATGAAAAATCCCAATCAGACATAAGACTGCAGTACTAATTAATATGTTTTAGTTTATTCTAATTACTATTAATAATTAATAATAAAATGAACTTAATAAAAATTCATTCAATAAAATAATTTGTAAAACTTACTGTAGCGTAAATTGGAATGTTTTCTTTGTAAAATTAAAAATAAGGTATTTAATTAATAACTATAGTGGAAAAAATAAGGTGGTTTGCATCAATATTAGACATAACTAGTGAAGACTGTACGACCTCAGTCAACCGTGACCATGGGACCTGTAAAGGGCCCGAAACGTCGGTTTGTTTGAAAAAACAAATATACGCGACTTAAATCCGGAAAAATTGTTTTATTTCCTATGTGTAACAATCGCGAAAACCTAAGAACTCGACAAGCATAAAAAAGTTAACGATTAATTCATTCGTAGACTCTTTAAAGCTAGCGGAGCTAGTAGAGGAGCTGCTTAACAAACTAGAGCGCCTACAAAATCTGGCAATCCGTTTCATATTCGGTTTACGTAAATATGACCATATCTCTGAATTTCGGACTAAATTGAAATGGCTCCCAATCCGACTTCGCCGAGATATGCACGTTCTTTGTCTACTTTATAAAATTTTAAATTACCCCCAGCTTCCTCATTATCTGTTTTCCCGTTTTTCCCCCTTATCCCCCAATTCCCGCCCAAAACGTACCTGTGACACTAGAACACTTTTATATCCCCAATCCAACTCCAAATTCTTTCACAATTCTTTTACCGTAAGTGCAGCTCGTATGTGGAATAAACTACCTGCTAGCATTCGTGATAGTCCATCGGTGGCATCTTTCAAACACAAATTAAAAGAGCACTTCCTGTCGAACGCGTTAGATAGTTTATAGGTAACATATTTGTAAACAAATGATCTGTTATTATAATATATATTCTGTTTATGTATGTATTTATGTATATAAAGTTCATTTATGTGCATATGTCTGTCGTATGTATATTATTATCATTTATATTTTATTTACATTTAAATTTAAATTTTGTTGTACATTAATTAGTCCCGCAGACTTCATTTTTGCACCACGGCTGGGGTTGGCTGGAAGAGATCTCTTATAGAGATAAGCTCACCTTTGTATATGTCCATTGTAACGTGTGTTTCATGTGTCTTTTCTTTGTACAATAAAGAATATATTAAACCTCTCTCCAGAAAAATTGTCATTTTGCAGATGTGACCTTATTAAACTAAGGATGCGACATGTTTCGCGTACCTTTTGCTTTTTGGCGAAGCCAATTGCATCTTTTATTTTCGGCAAAGCAATTACGCTACCCAGGTCTTTGTTGTGTATACGCAACACTTGCACGTGTGTCACTGCACGCACTGTATAAAAAGCTGGAATACCTGCGGGACATAGATGCATTCTTATCTGATGGCATTATTTAATTGTTAACTTAGAAAAACAATTTAAGAAATGATTATTTAAAGTACTTACGCAATAAGCATTCTAGGACTCCGAAATGTGTTTTAGAACCTATGACATCGACGACTTCCATAGTGTCGGGACTTAAAACCTGAAAAAATAATTGGAGCGAAAAATAAAATAGTGGGCAGCTACAGTCAGTAGTAAAATTAAATACCAAATAAATTGCTAATCATAATCAATAAATACACAATACGCAGTAGTGGAACAAGCCGCGGTTTTCTCGTAGCAGTGACGCCGCACTTGTTTATTTTTTGGCATATATTTCGCACAATAATACAATAAATACATTGACTTACAATTATATGGACGTCGGGTCCGCGCTAAAAAGTGTCCGCACTTGTAAGGCGCTAAAATCGTATACAGAGCGCGACACTCCGCTTAAGTCTTCATTTGTTCTACTGACAGCGCGATACTGCGATGACATTACAATTTAAATTTCGAATAGGTTGACTTGGGACATTTTTTTCGTGGTTTTTGTATTAGACCCGTCGTCCATTTATTTGTAAGTCAATGAATAAATATTAAAATATGACAGTGCACCAACAAAACAGCTGGTGGCGCCATCTCTAATCGACGTTCGTCATAAAAAATTATGCTAGCGCCACACAGTATCAAATTTAGAACGAACATAAAACACCAAGGAGCGGCCATCTTGGTTATTGTTCTTTGGATCTTTGGGTGACCAATTTAGACACGGTAGATGTTGTTTTAAATCTAAGTTAATTATAGCCATCGTTCATTATTTCCTTCAGTTTTAACTGCCTATGTGGCCGAACGGTTACCATGCCGGACTGCCACGCAGAGGTCCCAGGTTCGATTCCCGGGCCGGGAGAAATGTTTGTATGGCCTACATTTATTTATCTCGTGAATTTGGGTGTAATTTGTGGTTGTCTATGTGTGTGTCCATGGCACCCGTGACACAGGGTTTCCCTAGTGCGGGGTTATGTTGAGTGTGTGCGTAATTATACTATGATACTATGTCCTTGTCCGATAATCCAAGGCCAAGGGAAAAAATGATAAACCAGTCTAGTGACGACAAAGTGGTTTTAAATAAACTATGAGTTAACAAGTAAGTAAATATCACAAAAGCGTATCAAAACTTCATATTATGGTGATGACATTATGAAAATGGAAGAAGTCGTGATAAAAATAGAGAAGGATATATTGAGGAGTTTTAGGCACATGAAGAGGTTGAGTGAAAATAGAGTGGCGAAAGTGATATAGGTACATATAGAGCCAACATGAAAGGCTATAAAAATGTTTTCAGATAAAATTGAGAAAGATCTTAAATGTGAAGTAAGAAAGATAGGAGGGCTGGTATTGTAGACTAGGCTCTACTCTATGAGTAGAATTGCTGGCTGAATATAGGTAGTGATTATAGTTTTATATTTAGAATGTTAAGAAAACAGAAGATCTTGACATATTAGATTATTGATTTGTAACCTGAAAGTATAAAATATGTAAAAATAGTGAAATAAACCAGAGTTCTTAAGATGATCCCGGTTTATATTATTAGAAGTACCTCTCGCTACGCAATCTGAGTTACCCCTCGTTACAGTACTATGAAAAAACTGATGCAACTAATAGAAGAGAGGTTGCTCAGAACCACAGAATAAAAATACAGTAGAAGTGCTGAGAGTGGCACATGTTCAAAAGCTCAGTCCGCCAATTTGGCTTAGTATGTTATAGTCATGTCAATAATTTAGATAGTAGTAAAATTTCTTATTTCGCTATTTTGCAGTGAAAAAATGATAGTCTCAGTTAATATTATCTATGGCGGTGTTTCATATCATCGTTAAGTTTTACGTTATTTAATTTTGATAAATTTTCAATTTTCTTTTCGTAATAATTGTTTGTTACAAGAAACGAAAATAAACCTTATGTCGCTGCAATATGGGCGCTTCTTTTTTGAAGACTTAAATTCGCCGTTGTTCAGCTACTGACCGCTAGACGGCCGCGCATTAAATTAAAATTTCAATATAAAATCTGAACGTCGTAACGTGCAATATTAGGTATTGAACTTTGAACGATATGCCAATAGGGTAAAGTGTAAATTATATTGAGAGGGAGGCAAAATTCCTAATCTTCGATTTGATTTTAGAGGAGCATATCCACTTTAAAGTTGAAAATAAAATATTGTATGAGTAACTACACGATATATTCAAGCATAGACATTAATCAGAAACATAAAACAATAAAGTTTCCTCGATAGATAAAAATCACGAAATAACCTCTAATTTTCACATTTTTTCGATTTATCCTCGAAATGCTACAGGTTATTAGGACAAAAATTTGATAGTTAATTATATTTATGCATGATCGACAACTGTCACTACGGATTTTTTTTAATCCCTTTAGTTTTAGAGTTATTCCGCTAAAATGAATTTGGTACTTTTAATGCGCAAAATTCAACGTCTCCTGTCGCATGTCACGCGAACTTCAGGCATATATTTGTTTCACAAATTTGGGCGGAGCCAACGTCAAAACTTTTTTGGCATGAGAGCATTGACTATGAGAGCTCTTAATATTCCAGAATTTGTTACTTCTTTTTAAATTGAGTGTCAAAAATTGTGAATGTATGAGTTTGGCGACAGCGAGCGGTTCTAACTATAATGTATGATGAGGGCACTTCCATTTGTTTTTTCTTCCGAGATCAGGACTGTGAAAAATAGATAGTCAGCCTATCTGAATGGGAAATAAAGATATGTGACCATTATTGCTTCTTGAAAGATGCAGACACGGGCAGGTAAAATACTCACCTCGCATTTGCCTTGTTTGATGATGTACATCTCGTTGCAAACGTCGCCCGTACTCAACAGGATCTCGTTGGGGCATGTGTAGAATAGCCGCGCGACAGACGATATGTCATTCAGATGTTTCTCGTTAAGATACTATCCATGCGAACACAAAATTTCATCGTCAACCGTTTATTCATGGGTATCCTTTGAGGAGAAGGTGAGGTTAGATTATAGATATATCTCTCGCTGCCAACAATTCGAAGTGGGCGCAATGCTCGGCAGCGAGAGGTGCTGGGAGGCTGTGGTCTCCTTTTGCGAGAGCGTAGTCTCGCAGAAGGAGGCAACGGAGCGCTTCAGATAGGACGACGTCTCTGACCAGCCAAGACGAAGACGAAGGCCGGGGAGACGAAGGAGGCAGTACACCCGCCTTCTTCCCCCGCCGTAGCTTGCACGCCGTAGCTGGGACACCTTCCGAAGGATTGTGTCCCAGTAGTAAGCGCAAGCGGATCCTGAGGCGTCTATACATATATGGCGGTGGAGTTATTAGCTGGGTTTTAGTGGGTATACGGGACTATCGCCCGGGAGTCCCACATAACAGTTCCTTGCTCCCCCGAGCCGAGCGGTATGCGTAAAGCATTTCCCAGCGATTAAAAAAAACGGTTATAGGTATAGATGTAGTCCGAATGCAGATTTAGGATCTACACATATTCCAAGTATTGTGAACTTATTTCGTCGCGTTTTCCTTCGCAGTTAACAATTCAAGCAGTCACTCTGTTAGCAGTCCAAATTGCAAAGATCTAAGGGGCACTGTCACTGCGCCCATCACCCTGAGACATATAAGTGTTGTCAAGTCCTATGTGGCTGTAATTTCACCAGCAGTCGTACCCTTCAAAACCGTAACGCCGTAAAGCTCACATATTACTGCTTGGCGGCAAAAATAGGAAGGTGGTAGTACTTCCCAGGACGAACTCTTTCTTATGAACCTCTACTGCTACTTATAATTCCAAAAGATGGGAATAATAAAAGATCTGGTAAATATAACCGTGATATTCTTAAATTTAATATTTTCTCGTTTCAGAAACGAGAATCTAATAAAAATTAAACAATAACCTTTGCAAATGGTAATTTAGCAGTGTACTTCATTCGTTGCATGGCGAGTAATTCGCTAGACACATGCGGCGGCAGGTCGAATAACACTGACTGCTTTTTATGCGTGATGGCATATGCCTGCAACAACAATATCTGTCATACTTCTTTTTGCCTCTGATTTGAGGAAGGTGACTGCAAACTTGGGCAGCAGTAATGGTCATGCTTTCGTAATATCCTTCCAAGTTGGTGATTTTTGTGATAGCCTGTCACGATGTCACAAAAATACTAAAGTTAATAAATAATGACTAACAAGTCATAGGCCTGGTGGTAAACGTCACATCCATCCGTAACTGTGGCAGTGCCACTCAAAGCTTGAAATTGCAAATAATAACAATAATAATAAACCATTTATTTCAGGCCATAGCCCATAAGATAATGGTGTTAGTTACAAAAGAAAACCTTAGAACTATGTTAGTATGATTACATTGAATTTTGAGATATTGACAGAAATTTTAAATATTAAAATTTGGAAAATGTACAATTATTACTTAATTTGACCAATTGTAATGTTTACCCAAAACTTTAAAATTGTAGAGTCAAGACGATGGGCAAACATCCTCAGGATGCCACTGCCACTGTCCCGCACTTGCTTTAGCAGAGACGACACCTCTTTACGCCTAATGGCATAGAAGTCATCTGTTCGCGCTTCAGTAAACATGCCGCCGGATGCACTGCAGTTCCGTGGCAGTCCCAACAGCATCCTGAAGATGTTATTGTATTGTACTCGTATTGAGTTGTATGTACGCTGTGTATATCTAACCCATAGACTACTCGAATACATCGACTGACAAAAAGCTTTAAAAAGCGTAACTTTCACCTCTCTTGTACAACGAGTGAATCTACGGGCCAGCATGTTTCCTCTCACAGCCAGCGCAGCCCTTTCGATATCTAGATCTTCCATGCTGTCAGTAATAACGTGACCAAGATATCTAAACCTATCAACTCTATTAAGAGGCGTGCCACCAAGCGTTAACGATGGTACAACATCTGTATAGCATTTACCTGCCTTTACAACAAGCAGTTCACTTTTTTTTCAGTTGTACTTCAGCCCATGCTTAGTTCATTGACTTACACTTATATGGACGTCGGGTCCGCGCTAAAAAGTGTCCGAACTTATAGGGCGTTAAAATCGTATACAGACCGTCATTCACGCTCTAGTCTTCGTTTGTTCGACTGACAGCGAAGCAAGCAAAATTAGGCAGTACTGCGATGACATTACAATTTAAATTCAACGTTTTAGCTTTTTCATATTCCTTTACATGTCACTACGTTTAAATAGGTTGACTTGGGACAATTTTTTCGTGGTTTGTGTATTAGACCCGTCGTCCATTTATTTGTAAGTCAATGGCTTGGTTGCATACCTCTCACACAGTTTAAGTAATTTCCTGAGCGCATTAATAGACGGCCCCAAAGATCAAAGATCACAGACCTAAGAGCAAAGATCTAAGGGGCATTTCCACTGCGCTTGCACCCTCAGACAAGTACAATTTTTTTATCTTTAATTCAGACAACGGGACCCGTAAATTGGCTAGTTGCTTAGTGGCTACGTTAGTAAAAAGAAAAAACATGAACAGAATCATACTAATACTAATATTTGACCATGTTTGTCTGCAAGTTCTTTTTCTTACAAACACCTTTCGTTGACAAGCACCTAAAGAAAATGGCGCATAATGGGGAATCATATTTCCTAACCACGCTCATCAGGATGGATTTGGCGCTGGCCCACATTCTGCAGAGCAACGAGGTCGTCTTTTGCACCCTAAGACATAAGTTGACAAGTCCCATGTGCCTGTAACTTCACCAGCATCCTTACCTTTCCCAACCGGAACACAGTAATGCTGACATTACTGCTTGGCGGCAGAAATAGGTAAGGTGGCAGAACTTCCCTGGACGAACCATTTTACAAGGAGGCCTGCTGCTACTAATACTCTACTGCTTCTCTTTCACAACGAGCTCTGCGGCTAAGTGGCCTTGAACGGATTCCGTTGCTCTATTACTTATAATACAATAAATTCTCTGGTTTAAGATCAGATAATGTAGTTTATAGGGGCATTACGCGCACGATGGCGTACCAGTCATCGGTACGGGCATGCGCAAACTTTCCCGGCGCGTTGCAGAAGCGAGGCAGCCCCATCGACATCCTGAAGCCGTTATTATTTTAGTTAATTTAAGGACGCTAAAGGCCTTCTGCGTAAAGTTGGACCATAGGTTGCACGTGTAGTACTTGGCAATAGGCCTTGAAAAGCGTGATTTTTTCCTGCTCACCACAGCGAATTTGGGAACTGGAGAGACGCCGTTTTTCGGCATCGGGAAGTGAACGTGTCTTATAGCTCCGCCACTAATGAGGAGATTTGGTAGTCGACGGCTCAGCGGTGGTAACCGTTAGTTGAGCAGAGCGCGATGGGAAGTGAGCGTGCCCAAGGCACTAGTCTTATAGATAACCGGATAAAGTCTGTGAAAACGGTCTGATCTGGGGTTAGGACATGACTGGGATGATCGCTCGCACAGGTCATAGTGTACACATAACCAAGAGGTTGATAAGGAGGGGCATTATAAACAAAACTTATATTGAAAGATATGGGACTTCAACATTACTGGTTGGCGGCAAAAATCAGGTATGGTACTTCCATGGGTGAACTCTATCACAAACAGGCCTGCTACTGTAACTACAACTGTTGGTGGTTGGATACTGCCTTCCCTCACCTTGTTCGTGTGCCAACAAAGCTGAAGATAGCTGATAAAGCGATGCCGCAGCACAGGGTCCACATTATTCCGTATCAGGCAGTTCTTTACTTGGGATATACACGTTTCGTACTCTTGCCTGTTCAAGATATTGCATATTTGAAGTTAGTAAATAAAAAAACTTAAATTAAAATATATAAATCTCTCGATACAAAACAGTGTACTCCATAAAGTTAATAAAGTCACCATCTGTAAGGTAACAACTCGCCAGCGGGCCTACCATAACCTTTCCATAAACAATCTTATTTCAATGCAAGCTTAAAGTAAGCTTATTACAATATTACTCATATTCGTACCATGACGAACCTGTCAACCAAGTCATTGTCTATTCCTTACTAAAAATATGTGAACTATATAATGCCATCTCTTTCTTTTTTGATGTTCCGAATTGTCTTATCGTAGTATAATGTTTAAGTACTTAATGTAATTTACATTCAGAGAATTTTGAATGTTAAAAAAAGAAAAGTATGTAATAATAAAATCTATTAAAATTACTTTGTTTTCAATAACTTTTCCGCATTTTCGTGAAGAAAAATAAATAAAACAAGCTGAGTCGTCATAGTCACGTTGTGAATTCGGAACTATAGTGTCAACTGTTAGTTTCGCCAAGGAGCATATAGATGGCGCTGTTATAATTTTACGAAATAAACATCGCGTATTTTTATTCAACGAAAAATTATTTACTATGTGCTATTAAATAAAAAATAAGCAAAATATTGAAGAGATATATTATGTAAATAAATAAGTTCTACTTAACTTTTAATAATTATAAATCAATGTTAAGACAATAAAACTGAAAATAATATTGTTTCCATTGCATCCGTGAAACTATTTTAAAATTGCTAAATTTGACATAAGAGCAATACTTTAATGTCAAAGTCGCGTCATAGTACGAACTGAGTTAGGTTAAGTTAGAGGAGAATAAATAGTCACAAAGCTGCCAATGAAACATCATAGTTTTAACATTACAATAAGCTTACGTAAAGCGCGTTATGGTACCAAAAATCAATGTAAGATTGAAGTAATATTGTTTTAAGAAGTTGTGGTAGGCCCCCAGGACCAATTTACAATACTGCGATCCTTAGTCGCCGGCACATCCCTAACACGAACTTCTGACGATTCGTCAAAGACCAAGTTTCAGCACCGTAAGGACGGAGAGAATACGCACGTCCATGAGCTTTCTTTTGAGACTACATTTTTCAACACAATATATTAGTACAGAAAACTTTCTCAAAAACAAGGTAAAGGCCTCAGCAATGTGC